TTTATATCGGTTCAAACTGTTTTGATGTTCTGTTTTTGTGTTCTGTTCATAATCGGTGGCGGTTCGCAGTACAGTTTTTCTTTTTTTTCAGTGGTTTTCATTAATAAATTAACTGTGCAAATTACAAGTGTCCGGTATTTCTATGTTCTTTTTTTTTGACTATAATTTTCTGTGAAAAAAAAAAAACGAAATTTTAACCAATTTCGTTTTTTCCTTTTTCTTTTTTTTTTGCTCTTGTTGTTACCTTGTTTTCTTGTTCTATTCTAAGAACTATTATCACTTCAGATACCCTTTTTTTTTTGGTTTTTCTGTCACATTAATCATATAATATTTCAGTGACATCAAATAGCAGAAAAAAAACATCGACAATAACATCTGAAAATATTTCAATCTTTTTTTTGAATCATTATTTATATAAGTAAGTAATCCAACTGTATTACTTACCGAACACTTTCTTTTGTTAGGTGCTTTACAACTGCAAGAAATTAGTAAATTTTTGTTAAATAAAGGTTACATTTGTATATTTCTGAAAAAAAAAATAAACTTTTAACTTTTTTTTTTTTTCAGATTGTTTTAGTCAGTGAATATTCAATTAACATTACGGAAGAAAGACAGTTATTTTATGTTTTTTTTCATTTTTTTTTTCTAGTAATTTTTTCCTTTCCTTCATTAACAACGATAGTGAAAAATGTTGCTTTCATTTTACAAACATTTGAATGTGTAATGTTGAAAATTTTACGGAAAAAAAAAAAACACCATTTTGGCAATATTACACAAATGATGAAGTGAAAATTTTGGTTTGTAGCTTTTCCTTTTTATTTTTTTGATGTCTAAATTATCTGCTAATTTTTTTTCTTTTTTTTTTTGCTACTACTTTACGATCTGTTGTAGAAGAGAATTTGAATTGACGATCTATCCAATTTTAATGGATACAGCTAAAATACAGCCAAAAAACTAAAAAAATTTAGTTGCTTAACTAAAATTACTAGGTCTTTTTTTTTTTCTTCAACAGCTATTGATACCGGTCTGCTGCAGAATCCACTAACATTATAAACCTATAAAATTTGAATTAATTTTCTCTCCTTTCCAGTCATTTTTGTTTTTTTCTTCTCAATAAACAATTTTTGATCATAAAAACACCAAAAAAAAAAAAACGTATAATAAAACAAGTGATGATTTAATTAACAGCTGATGTTAAAATTTTTTTTTTTCTACGTAAATGAGAAGTCGTTTTTTTTTTTTTTTCTTGTTACAAATTTAACGTAACCATAGTTGTTCGAACAGTTTTCTATTTGCAAAAATGTTAACTGCAGAGGGTAAAGAAGAGGGTAAAGATGAAAAAACAGATGTCAACAAGTCGAACCAAATTTATAAAACTGGAACAAGAAGATGGCAGAAATGGAAGTATGGAGTAAAGGGAAAAAAAAATCAAGAAGAA